CCATTCTTACTGCCGCTATTCCTACAGTCATAACCCTTCCCTTTCTTCCCTTGCGCCTTTCTCTTCTTTTTCCATTAAACACTACGACCGTTACACTGACGAGATCCTGTCGCGCGATGTTGGACCGAAACGTCTTATCTCACTCTTACCTTCCTTGCCCATACTGTTCTTGTTTTCTTCATTTAGTCGCGCCCTCGGCAATTCGGCGTCCAGAATCAACCTGGATGCTACGTCCGGCTTAAAGGAGTATGATTTTAGCCGTTTTAGGAGATTCTTGAGGATCACCACACCGTCCCTAATGCTGCAAGTTCTACATCACAATCGTGAAGTATGTAAGGATTTGGACTGCCCACTCACCAGAGGAAATACTGTAGTCGTGGAGTTGCAATCCGGTGCTGTTTATGGAATTTTTCGGTGTATTTCTCACTGCGTTTTTTCCAGCACACACATTTCAGGAAAGGAGGCGTTCGTCGAATGGTGGTTTTCCTGGTATTACACAGATTGGTATTTTCCAGGCTCCGGAACCTCGAAGAATGTTATTCGAACAAAATGTCGTTACTGCTGCATCCTTGGATGAAAATACTAATACTGGTGGAACCCGGTCTGTTCTGTCTTGAATGAATGTCTTCTGTTGTCTCTCATTTCTTTTATTCGATCTAAGAAAAGTATATTAACGAGGGATGAAATAAGAAGAGGAGTCAAAAACGAGGACAGGGAATGAGAATTAGAAAATTTATGAAATTATAATGGTAAGAAATGTTTTGGTCCATTAAGTTGTATACATTTCTTACCATTACCAAAATTGGGCCTCGTCAGTACAATGACTGTGGTAATTGTAATTGGTGGGAATTAAGTTTAAATTGTTGTGCAGTGTAGTAATTAGGGAGGATTATGGAAGATGAGTAGTAATGGTATGATGGGAAAAGTAACATGTTACTGCAGATGGGTCTGTTGATTCCATATCGAGATACAGATAGGTTTCAATGGGAATAACTGTGCAGTAGTATGGAAGGATGAATTGAACTGGACACGTGAGATGATAACTAATACATGTGAGGATGAATGAACTAATTGTGCAGTGAAATTATCATTTGTTATTTTCAGAGACATTACCAGAGAAGAGTTTGCTAGTTCTTCGGATGATTATCTTTCGGATAAAGCGGAAGTTTTTTCAAGTGCTGGTGCCGCGCCTTCGCAGGTAATTTCCAATGCCAGTACGTAGAGCCTTTCTCGTATAAAAGTTGCTCGAAAATCGGCCGCTGTGGGCCACTTTTCGTTAGGTGTTATAGAAATTTTAAAAACACAAACAGTGGAAGAAGACGGGGGCTGCGAGATTGGAAGAAGACATGGGCCTAAAATCTTCTGTGTGTTAACATATGCAGTTTGTTTGACGTCAACATTTGTTTGGCATCCATCTTAACTCAGTTTGCATAAATGCAGCGGATGCATTTTACCGGTACACTTGATGGCACAGTCGTTATTGGGTATTTTGGCGGTGTTCGCGAAATTCGATTGTGTAAACTGAGA